CTCTCTCTCTCTCTCTCTCTCTCTCTCTCTCTCTCTCTCTCTCTCTCTCTCCCTCCCTCTCTTATCTAATTTCTCAACCCGTCCTATCTAATCCCTTTCTCTGCTGCATCATCTGTTCGTAAATGTTTCGTTCCTTCTTTCTTGTATTTCTTTGTCCCACTGTCTGTATAATTTACTTTCCTTTTTCCCTCCTCGTCTCAACGTAGTTGAAATCAACTCAACACGAGTCAATGCTGCCTGTTTCCAATAATGGTCTAAATTCCAAAGAAATTACTATTCATGTTAAGGCCAAGCATGTTTGGAGCTCAGAACATGTCCAGGATTTAGTGTAAGAACAATGTTTGATATCGTCCCGAGACAGACTTTTATACTCATGTCGACTCTAACGGCTTTACTCACTGTTTCTTTTTATTCGTCTTCTCACAGAGAAGCGCTTTGGACTTGATCAAATTAGAAGCAAAGTACAACCGGCTACAGACTCTCGTTACGGTGAGTGGTGGCAACAGCATCTGTGTCATAACGCTGTGGAATCAGGCGCACGCGAATTGTTGAGCATTGGAGCATTGGAATTGTATTAAATCTTGTTTACCTGTCTTGCTTTAAATGAAAAAAAACCCTTCTATTTGGAATAAAAGTTGAGATATTTGTGATTAAAGGAGGTAGGCGTCGCCTGATGTTGAAGATACAATTAGCGAGAAAATGTCTGCTAAAGGTTTGTGACTTTCCAAGCTGGAGTGTCCATGAAAACTTCAAAATTACATTTTTTATGCCTTTGATCAACATTTTAAAGTAAAATTCACCAAGACGTATGTTTTTTAATGGACATGAAAGTGGTAGAGCCTAAATGAACATTCGAAAAAATTGCCCGAAGGCCAGAAAAATGCCGCTTTCCTTGATTTCATATTTTGACGAGCGCCTGAGTTCACCAGGAAACAACATCTTTTATGTCGGCAAGCTATACAAAAGCAAAATGTTCCAGGGGAGAGAATAGACTATTTCATAATTTTACAAATTGCAATAAATACATAATATTATGCGTTACGACGTGGTGGAATCAGGCTTGTAGAGTTATTTGTATCATCTTAAAGCTTGTTCGTTTATCTTGCCTTGGATGGAAAAAGTCCTTTTATCTTGAATACAAGTTGAGATATTTTTCAATAAAGGATTTGGGGGTCACCTGGTTTCAGAGGTAAAATTAGTGAGAAAATGGCCACCAAAGTTCGCTTATTTCTTTGCTTGAGAGTCCATGGAAACAAAAAAATTTTACATTTTTTGTATCTTTAATCAACGTTTTTCAGTAAAATCCACACAGAAATGTCTTATTCAATGAGCATGAAAGGTATTTAGTAAAAAAAAATAATTAAAAAATTGGATAATAATTAACAAACCTGCAGAAAAATGCCAGATCTTCACTTTGATTATTTTGAGGAGCGCCTGATTTCACCACGCTGCCTCACATATGTCTCGTATATCAAGGCTGTATCAATTCAATCTTTTTCCCAATTCCCGCGTAGAAGTTGCACCTATTTTGGTCTGTAATATCTAGACTTCAGAAAATTGCCAATGAAATCATATAGGGATGAAATTTGTGTTTCTTGACCCAAACTGGTCACCGTGAAGCCCAGAATACTTAATTTAGAACAAACAAAAATTTCAACTGTACATAATATCCCTAAAGTGGATTGCTTGCGACAGCAATGATATCATCAGTGCATTCAGGTTTTCAATTATATATTTTTGCACAGGCCTCAGGAATGGAAGACATCTTTGACAACCCCAACACCACGGTATTTGCCCCTGAAAACAGCGCCTGGGACGCCTTACCTACAGGGACGATGGATTACTTTACTCAAGATCAGGTTAGAAGAAAAAAATCTTTGTCCTTGTTGTTATTGTTTTTGTTGTTGTTGGTGGTGGTGGTGGTGGTGGTGCTGCTGCTGCTGCTGCTGCTGTTGTTGTTGTTGTTGTTGTTGTTGTTGTTGTTGTTGTTGTTGTTGTTGTTGTTGTTGTTGTTGACGTTATTGATGAGGGTGATGAGATTCATTTTCGTGTCATATTATGTCATCATCATCATCATCATCATCATCATCATCATCATCATCATCATCATCATCTCTATTACCTGTATTACTACTACTACTACTACTGCTACTACTACTACTACTACTACTACTACTACTATTACTACTACTACTACTACTACTACTACTACTACTACTACCTCAACAACTACTACTGCTACTACTACTGCTACTACTACTCTACAACAACAACAACAACTACTACTACTACTACTACTACTACTACTACTACTACTACTACTACTACTACTACTACTACTACTACTACTACTACTACTACTACTACTACTACTACTACTACTATGTTGACGACATCATGTTGCAAAGGGTTGAAAAACAAAACTTAAAATCATTAATCCGGCGCCGTTTCTAACTCCTCCCCCCCCCCCTTCTTCCTTCCCTCTCTATGTGCATATCTGCTGCCCGTCTGCATGTCAGCTTCTATATCTCCATTGCTCTTTTTCTGTGTGTTTGTGTTTCCTTCACAGCCTATCTCCCCCTCTCCCCCTCACCCTCTCTCTCCCTCCCCCCTCTCTCTCCCCCTCTATCTATCTATCTATCTATCTATCTATCTATCTATCTATCTATCTATCTATCTATCTATCTATCTATCTATCTATCTATCTATCCTATCTATCTATCTATCTATCTCTCTCATTCCATTTACTCTGCCTTTATCTCTGCCTATATGTATCTCACCCTACACCCCTCCTCCCGCCATCCAGCCACTAGGCGCCCCTTCTCAAACACCTTCTCCTACTTAACTTCTTCTCCATTTGTGGGTGATTGGCGAGAGCTCTGGTGTTTTTTGCTCCTTCTTTCCTATCAAACATCTAACATCCTTATCCTTCCTTCTTCTTTTCTTTCTATACTACTCTCCCGTAATACTTCTTCGGCAATTATATGACCAATTCGTGTTTCAAGTACCGTAAAACTCTTGTTAAAACTAAAACTCTGCTTCTTGATAGGAGGGGACGTAAACCTTTTACAACAACATTTACTTAGTTTCTCACTTGACAATGAACAATTTCCACAGGAAGGCAAAGAGAAGCTGCAAACGATTCTTATGCACCACGTGGTGCCGCAGAAAGTGGGCGTGACTAGTCTGATAAATACGCAGAAATTGAAGACCTTGGCAGATACCAACTTTGCCATCAAAGTCAATGAACAGGTGAGTACCGTATCACTTCGTTTTGTGAGAGAACCCCTTCCCGTTTCTCAACTTACCCTGCTCTCCCTTACCACGGCCCCTTTTTCTCCTTTCCAACTCTCCCACCCCACATCCACCCCCAAACAAAGAAAAGAAAGAAATGAAAAGACGAATCATCAGACAGACATCGGCGATCATGGCTCTACAATCATTCTTTGGCTCGGATGCTCATAAATAAGCCTTATTATCCTGATCTATCCCTGCCACCCATCTGTTAAGGCACTCCGAGCAGGTTGCTCTGTCCCTATCCCTGCCCAGCTTCTTTTCAATTTTGTCAGTGAGAGCTAGATGTTTAAGGCCTTTATGTCTACTCTGATGTCCCAAAAACTGAATTGTCTTTTCCTGATTGTTTTTATCAGCGAGCAGCCGGTGTGGGCTGCTTCAAGTACTACCACATTTGATTTCTTGTCCTTTCAAGATATTCTCGGCAGTCTCCTGAGAAACCACATTTCTGCTGCTTCTATTTTAACTACTGTCTTTGGTGATTGTCCTGCATTCACAGCCATATAGAATGGTTGGCCATATATAGTATTACAGAACTTTCATTTTGATAGTCATTGAGATACAATTTTTCAGGGTTGGGCTCATTTTATTGAAAAGACAAATAGTGAATAGAACTAAAAGCAAATCAATGGATCAACGAATTAATCAATAGATCATTAATAAAAAATAAAATAAACCAATACTCTTGTAACAATAAATGTTTATGTAAGTAATACGTTATTTTGAGCATTCCAATGTCTAACCGCTTCCAAGTGACTATTTTCGTGCTGGTTTTGAAAAAAGATAAGAAAGAGGATGGAAAGCATGGAGGAAGGCGGTGAAAGGGGAAAGAAGAGGTTCTCTGAAATGCCATAATGTTCGTCTATTAGGGAGAAAATTCATACGAAAAAATAACCTATTCCTTAATTATCCTTTTTCTCCTCCCCGTTCACTTCCGTCGACCCCATCTTCTTCCTTCTCCTCCTCCTCCTCCCCTCCTCCTCCTCCTCCTCCTCCTCCTCCTCTTCTTCTTCTTCTTCTTCTTCTTCTTCTTCTTCTTCTTCTTCTTCTTCTTCGTACAGCTTGAACAAAGACAACATCCCCTGCAGCACCGGTTTCTACCACCACGTAGACGCTGTCCTTGTGCCAGACATCATAGACCAGATGCTTCCCCACAGATGTACCCAGATACTCGAGAAAGAGGTTCTGGTGAGTGAGTGAGAACATTTTTGAGGTTTTCTATCATGTTATGACTATTTTGTTTTCTATTGTTTTGTTTTTGATTTCCTTGGTGTGACCATTATTTCATTTATTTTTATATTTTATTATTTTTAAAAATTTTACTTTTATCTATTTTTAATTATTTAGTTGCTTATTTATAATAATAATAATTTTTTTGTGGGGGGAGGGGAGTAGGAGGTATAGCTTTGTTTTCTTTCTTCTTAAATGCGCTCACGACCTTATGCAGTTTCGAGAGACATAAAACTCTAACTAAAGTGAAAAGGAAAACAACATTGAGGGGGTGAGGGGTAGTTTCTTTGTTGTTGTTGTTTTGTTGTTGTTGTTTTGTTTCGTTTTTTGTTTGTTTGTTTGTTTGTTTGTTGTTTTTTGTGTTGTTGTTTTTTGGGGGGGATGGGGGTTCTTACTGATTAATCACCATCCCCATTTCCTTTTCCTTCAACTTCTACTAACAAATCAATCGCTTTAATATTTACATAGTAATTTTATGTCACCACTGAAATCTGATTTGGTTGAGTCAAACAATATGACAGACAGACAGACAGCACAAATAGATAGATAGATAGATAGATAGATAGATATGGTTTGCAGTCCTCTGGAATTGTCGATCTTTTACACCTCTAACTATATTCTATTGAAGCAATCTATTACTGGTAAACTTTGTTCATGATCTGGCTGACCAATTAATTTTTTTTAAAAACAAATTTACTGCATATATTTGTGCCACGACACTCGTCATTTTTTAACATAAAGAGTTATTGTAATTTATCACATCTAACAGTACAGGGTGTTCTATGTCTTGCTTTTGGTGGAAAAAATACTCATCTATCTTGAGTAGAAGCTGAGATATGTGTGACTGGAAAAGGTTGGGGGGTCGCTTGGTGTCAGAGGTAAAATTTGCTTTTCATTTGGTTCCTTTGATCAACTTTTTTCCAGAAAAATCCACACAGGAATGTGTTTTTACATGGACATTAAGTCGAAAACAGAGCAAAACAGGCAGGAAAATGTTGCTTTCTTTGATTTCATTATTTTGAAGAGCGTCTGATTTTACCCAATGCCACAAGTTTGCTTTATTCTAAACAGGGTCGATGTGGAGTCTGTGGATCCCCGAAAAGGTGTCCAAAGAACTCGGATGTACCAACGGTACGATATTTTTTCTCAAACGCGCGCGAGTGCACACACACACACACACACACACACACACACACACACACACACACACACACACACACACACACACACACGAACGTACATATACATGCACACACACGTGCGTGCGAACACGCCCGCTCATAAACACACGACACACTCAAGCATGCGCGTGTGCACACGTGGACAAACATGGACATGCAACTATTAACTGCGCAGACTTGTATACATAAGCAGGAAAATATGTAATATATTTCTGTTATCTAAGTTATTTATACCCTGTGCCCTTTGGGTAATAGGTTCTGTAACACAAACCGATCGCCCGACTCGCGGCCTTGAAAACAAACGCGTTTGTTTGTTGAAGGTCATTGTCGGCTTCGTTGGGTTTGTGCCACGATGGTCCCTTTTCGCCCTCAATCTAGGTAACCCCGTCTACCAAACCGAACCAAACCAAACTGATCGTGCCAATGTGCATTGGGTACAAGACGAGTTGCTCGTGTTCCTCAATCGTCCAGGAGATCTCGTAGAACTGTCGCATGCAATAAGGCGAGGGACCACGCAAGACGATCACACTAGAATTATTAAGTTATATCTACTCAGTACCAAGTTTTGGGAAATTTTACGGGGGGAAAACATTTGAGAAACTCACACCCTGTCAAGTTTTTTTAACGCATAATATCTTCCGAATAATCTTACGATTTTGAAGGAGCAAATAGAACTGTTGGTTTCTGACCTCATGGTCTTAGTAACTCAAAACGGGCAAAAATGTCAGGTAGAACTTTGTAATTCTTGGGTAGTCAAGTCACTTGAGAATGTGACACTGATTTTGCCAGACGTAGACGTCTGAAGCTGTGTGTCGAGGGGAAGGGTGCACATTTTTTCAGCATTTGCTAAGATCGAAGAAAAGTAACTCCTGTTCTAATTTTATATTCTCTCCTTCAAATTGTTGTGTTTGAGAGGAGTCTCATTTTGCACAGACTTGTTGTTTTAGGTGTTGCACATTTCATTATTGCTCAATGAAATTGAAAGACTCAATTTAACTTTCCTTTATGTTTCCGGTTATGTTTCACTTTTCTTCTTTTTTCTTTGTTGCTTTCTTTTAGCTTTGGTTGGGTGTTACATTGACAATATTACAATCAAACAAAATGTATTTTGTTGCGATTTCTATTGATTCCTAAATTTTTTGTTCTGTTTTGTCATTACTGTGGGGGTTTTCCCCCTTTATTCCGGGATACTCTGTGCATTTTTTACTTCGTTTATACTTATTAACATTCGTTTAAAAATAATCATGTTCAGTATTCAAAATTATCAATGACATTAATTGTAAGAATCTTTTTCTACAACTGTACACAGACGAAGCAGAAAAGTTGCAGCTACTGGGCACGCAGATATGGACGGCCCAAAAGGATGCGAGGATGTGCCAAAATTTGCACCAGAGAAGTCAAGGTCAGTTCTACTTTCGGGTCATCTATTATTAATGTTTTATGTATAATAATGATCCTTTATTTCCGATTGGTCTAGAATTGCCAAATAATCACAAAAAGTTCCAACCTACGGTCAAAGGGACATGATTCAATTCAAGAAAAAAAGTAAACCTTTGAATCTTATGCTTGCTTCCCCTGGTTACTATTCAACCATTCTGATAGCAACCCCTCCACTGCGACGGCGACGTTGAACTCCCGTCTCCTCGAACATGCCTGTGTGCTTTGAGTGACCGTATTTCAGGCCACTCTTAACGTACATGTATTTTTAATGTGTTAGAGTCAGATGATGCAGAATCTATTTAGTTTTGAATGTGTACGATGCATAGATGGGTAGTGCAAGGCTTTAACCCTTTCATTGCCTGTAGTGCGGTCAAAAACGTGAGACGTCCTGATATATCTCTTTAACAGGTGAACTAATGTCATATACTTTGCACAGCAGTTTGTATCAATTTGTCTTAATTTAATCATATGTTTCCACTAAAATTGAGGCAAGATTTTAAAAACTTTTCTTTATAAATTTATATAAAATACCACACATCCCCATCACGTGGAAAATGGGTTTGTTCACACCACTTCCTGCTTCTCACACGCATTTTGCTTACAATGTGACATACCTCAGAATGTATTTCTTGAAGCAAGTTTTGCCACTAAAAAGTGTCGTTGGCTAGCGGTGACGTATCGTTCACCTCAGAACGACAAAGTTCTATCTGACGTTTTGGCCGCTTTCAGTTATGAGAACATGAGGTCCGAAATCAAATGCTCTATCTGCTCTATCAAAATCGTACGATAGCTCTGAGTCGTTATTAAAATATTCAACAATTGCATTTTTTAAAAAGCTTGAAATATTGTGAAACTCAACATTTTTGTCTCTAAACTTCTCAAAACCAGATACTGAGCAGATATAACTTTGTAATTTTGAGGTAACGATACGTCACCGCTAACCAATGACACTTTTTAGTGGCAAACCTTGCTTCAAGAAATACATTTTATAGTAGACAGCTTCTCTCACTAAAGGTTCCCAAATCATGCGTTCGATAAGCATAATGTCGCACTTAGAAAAAAAATGACGGACTTGCTTTTTAAAAGTAGTCCCAGCTATACTTACTTACTTTTTATTTTTTCATCCTCTGTTGTCGTTAAGCGTCTAGGGGAGATGCAGTTTTCTATGGTAGGCCTTCCCCGCAGCTCTTTCAATTGTGATGTTATGTTTTCTTAGGGTTTCCTTGACACCCTCAATCCACCTTTTGCGTGGCCTTCCTCTTCCTCTATAGCCTGAGTGCTTGGTGTTGTAGGCTCTCGAGGCTGGCTGGTCAGGTGACATGCGTAAGAGGTGGCCAAACCATTTTATCCTCTGTCTTTCTATGTAACGCAGGCAGGACTCAGTGCCGATAGCTGCTCTCACTTCTTCATTTCACTGCCTGTCTCGTCTTGTGATGTTAAGGGTTTTGCGGAGAAATTTCATTTCGCATGTGGTGATTTTGCTTTCATGGGTTTTTCATAAGGTCCAGGTCTGGCACTGATAACATAATGTTGGTATGAATATTGAGGTGATAAGCTGTCTCTTAGTGTCCATGGAGACGTTTGGATGAGATACGAGGGGTACGAGTTGGTAGGTGACAGCGTTGACTTTTTGAGTTCGCATTTCTATTTCTCTGTCTATGGACCCGTTTTCAGAAAAAGTGCTGCCAAGATATTTAAACTCCTTCACATGTTTCAGTTGTTTACAATTGACATGGATGTGCAGGCTTCGGCTCACTTTCATAACTTCTGTTTTTGATGTGCTTATTTTCATGTTGAATTTCTCACAGGTGTTGTTGAGTTCGGTAGTGTGATTTTGGAGGCTTTCTTGGTCATGATGAATAGACATTGGTCGTCTGCGAACAGAAATTCATTTAGGCTTTCTGGGCTTTAGTTTGCTTCTTGCGTTATTGTGTCCATATATATCTTATAAACAGGAGGGGAGATAGAACGCATCCCTGTCGTACTCCAGATCTTACTTTGGACCAGTCTGTATTGCCTTCCTTCGTTCTTACTGAGCTTCTGCAGTTGGTATATAGAGCTCTGACATTATCTAACATTTGTCCTCTGACGCTATACTTTTCGAGTGTCTTCCAGAGTTGCATGGCGTCAGAGGACAAATGTTAGATCATGTCAGAGCTCTATATACCAACTGCAGAAGCTCAGTAAGAACGAAGGAAGGCAATACAGACTGGTATGTTCTAGTATCATAGCTCATATAAGCTGGCAATCCCAGCTACAAACCCTCTATAATTTGTAGAAACCACCCACCGGAATTTCTAATTAGTATTTATTAAGGAGTTTTTTAGAATACAACTAAATAGTGTTTACAAAATTATTGATCTGTTAAGACAAATTGATACAAGATATTGTGCAAAGGTTGGAAAGTTTATGTTTGATAGTTTAGGAAATATTTGACAGTAAATTGCGCCATGAAAACTTTCCCACGAATGTACCTAAAAGTAACCTTCCTGGTGTTTTTGGTCAATACTTTAGAGACAAGATATCCACGATTAGGAAAAAATGGACACGACTACCCATAAACTACCATGTTTTGAAACATTTTCTGGGGTAATCTTTGTACGTGTAACACAAGAAGATGTAAGATCAACCATAATGTCATCACCCACTAAAACATGCAGTCTTGATCCCATTCCAACACCTCTGCTCATCACACATCTTGATAGTGTCATTGGATTTATAACTTCCATCATTAATGAGTCTCTTCAGTCTGGAGTAGTACCATCACTCTTTAAGCATGCTTTGGTTATTCCCCTTCTCAAAAAATCAAATCTTTCCCCGGAGGAGCTCAAGAATTTCAGACCTGTCTCTAACCTTCCCTTTTTATCAAAAATCTTGGAGAAAGTTGTTTTGGTTCAATAGAAGAATCATTTAAAAGAAAACAATTTATATGAGTTATATCAATCTGCCTATCGACAATTTCATAACACAGAAACTGCGCTATTGAAAGTATATAACGACCTCTTGTGTGAGGCGGATGAGACAAAATATAAATTCTTTCTCTTCTTGATCTTAGTGCTGCCTTTGACAATATAGATCACACTATTCTTATTGAACGATTGTTCAACACGTTTGGCCTGTCTGGCAGGGTTCTTGACTGGTTCAGGTCCTACCTGATTGGCCGTACCCAATCTGCGGTTGTGCACATCTCTCTTTCGTCAATTTTTAAGCTAGACTTTGGAGTGCCTCAAGATTCAGTATTGGGTCCAATCTTGTATCCATTATATACACAGCCGCTTGGAGCTTTGGTTAGAAAGCACAATATCAATTATCACATGTACGCTGACGATACACAGTTATATAAATCTGTTCCACCATCAGATGTTAAAACCTTGATCACTTGATGACATAAAAAAGCCCACCTTGCTCAGTCAGTTTGGAACTCTCTTCCCCAACCCTTGAGACATACAACATCTGAGTCTAAATTTTTAAAATCTTTAAAGACACATTTAATGACATCCTTTTTATGTCAGTAGATTCATGTTCAATACAATGTTATCTAAATGACCATGTATCCATTTATGTATTTTGTGAATTGCAGTGTGTATATTATTTTATGCTCATTTCGTGACGATTTGTAAGCGTGTGCGTGTGGTAAGCAAGAAGATGTGTGTGTGTGTGTGTGTGTGTGTGTGTGTGTGTGTGTGTGTGTGTGTGTGTGTGTGTGTGTGTTTGGCGTACATTTGTGTGCACATGTGTATATATATGTGTGTGTGTGTGTGTTTGTGTGTGTATGAGTGTGTGTATTTGTGTGTGTGTATGTGTTGCGTGTGTGAATATTGTTCTAGAGCTGTGTTTACACGGGAGTGGGCGCTATAGAAATGATCTTCATTATTATTATTATGAATTTTTGACCGCACTATACTATGACGTCAACATACAGAGCGAACTTTTTGTGCTCCTTATAGTTTCTTTCAGATTGCCGGGAAAAAATTATATATTCAGATGAAGAGTAATATCAAAGATAGTACATAAAAAGATGGTCCACTCAGCCAAAAAAAGTGTCCGCCGGAAGTCCGCTCTTCGCTTCAGAGGGCGCTGCACTCTGTTTTGAAGCTCTGTTACGTTTCTCCAGAAGAATAGGAATAGCGCCTCCTTGCGTGCGCAGATCGATTGCTGTTTATCAGCTGTTCGGGTTCGTTCAGTGCGGCGTTTTAGTTTTCTTTTAGTTTAATGACTCTCGCCTTTCATTCTAGAGTCAATTTAAACGAAGAAAACAGTCACCCCTTCCTCCAGAAGAGGTTTTTTGTCCGCGTAACCATTTTTAAAAAGCGTTCTTCCGAAATTTGAATTTTTATTTATTCAAAAACTTGTTAGTTTCACTTTGATATTTTTAACACAAGTAGGGTAACTCAGCTCGCAAAGGGTGGTGCGCATTTGCGAAGAGGGCGCCATCGAATATTGAGGACACTTTTTTAATTGACTCAAAGAGAGGAGTGGACTCTCTTTTTATGCAGACTCTTTGGTAATATCCAACACCGAAGAATGCCGTAAAATGTCCTAAAAGGAAAACCTAGTCCAAAATTTGATTAGTTGTTGTTTCTACGCTACGGTTGTTCGTTTTTCCCTGTCTCTGTTTTGGTTTCATTTGGTTTGTTGTTCAAAACACATGAAGATCTATGCAAAAATTCTTTGCATGTCTGCTATTTATATGAGCTATGGTACTAGAACATACCAATATAAATTATGTCGACAACAATCAGAAAAATTAAAGATTTCGGGAAGGCTTGTAAATGAATGGTCACCGTATTCTCTCGACTTGAACCACCTCAAATTAAATCCTTTGGGGTTTCTCGACAGAATATACGGAAACAGCCCATAAACAATCGAAGTGTTGAAACTGAATGTTGAACAGGGTGTCCAATGAATCCACATAAAAACGTGCTACAAAGTTATTCAAAATTTCCACCAGCGTATTTGAGCTTGTCTGGAAAGGAAACATGGTCAACACCTGGAGAAACCAGTTTGAATAACCACCACCTCCCTGAGTTCATTTGGCAATGTCAATTTTAGGTAAATGCGTACTCAGATGCGCAAAAACATTCTATTCATGATTGTTAAGGAGGGGGGGGGGGCTACACCCCCAAAGTCAAGATTCGGCTCAAAATTATGGAATTGGAGTTGTAGGCATTTTTAGCTTTCTCAGTCTCTCCTACAACTATTTCATTGCATAAGAACCCCACAAAACCGTATTTTTTCCCATACCGGGCATGTTTGTCACCGCCATTTCCTCATAAAGTCATTTTTTTTCTTTATCGGCCGTTTTCTCAAAATGCGACTTTTCTCTATACTTTTTTTAATAACGCCACCATTTTTCATCCAATCTTCATGAAATTTTCACAGAATGAAGAGAAGAGGTAATACAAAAACTGTGCTTGTTGAATTTTTGATATATGGAATAGATTTTTGTTGGTGGTGTCTGGAGTATGGATTTTCACGGATTTTTTGCAAACTTGAATGCTACCTCAGGAAAAATTCATTAAAAATTTTCTAATTCGTTTAGGAAAAAAACAACAGACAAATTTTTAGATCTAATGTTCGTCAACACGCATGCAAAAAAAAAAAAACCAATCAATTTCCATGAGTGGTAAATGCGGTATTCATTACGTAAGACATGTCAACAAAATCCAATATGGCCGCCGTATCCATGGAAACGAAACTTTTTCTCAAATTTGATTGCGGATTTTAAGACTCCTTACTATGCTTGTTATATGTGTGAAATGTGGTAAAATTCGGTCCAGTAATAAGCGAGATAGCCTTCAGGTGTAGCCCCCCCCCCCCCTTAAGAAGTTCGAAGGTTTTGTGTTTCCGTCAATGTTGGTGGTTGAACATTTTCAACTCGTTTTTTCTTGAACAAAAATTACCAGCTCCAGACTGACAAATTGGACGTTTCCTTTTATAAATCATTATTTGTGAGGCAGCGTTGTGGAATCAGGCTCCCGTCAAAATAATCAAAGTGAAGAAACTTGCATTTTTTCGCAGGTTTGTGAATTGTTATCAAATTTCTGGGGTTTTTTGCTCAACACCTTTCATGCCCTTTAAAGAACTCATTTCTTTGTGGATTTTTCTCAAAAACGTGATTAAAGTCACAAAAAATGTAAATTTTCAGTTATCACGGACTCTTAAGCTACGGAAATAACTAGTCTTTGGCGGCCATTCTCTCACTTATTTTGCCTCTGAAAACAGGTGGCCCCCATCTCCTTCTTTCGCAAATATCTAAACTTGTATTCAAGGTAAATGATTATTTTTTTTCATCCAAAGAAAGACAAGTGAAGAAGCTTTAAGGTGATACCAATAACTCTACATTGACGACAGCCTGATTCCACTACGCTGCCTCACATTTATTACAAGTTCAATTGAAATTGATCGAAAGATGACCAAGTTGTTGCATTTAAATGAATGGGTCCTCTTTTATTCAGACACCTGCAATCTAACTGAGACATTTACTTAATCTCACGACTTGATGGTTTCTTCACACAGGTTCCCAAGTGCTGTGAGGGTTTTCACGGTATTGACTGTATACCCTGCCCCGGTGGTTTCAAAAATCCCTGCAACGGTCAAGGAAAGGTATGAACACGCACACACACACACACACACACACACACACACACACACACACACACACACACCTTACTCACACACTCTTACACACTGCAAAACACACATACAAACACACAAACACGCACACACACGCACACACACACACACACACACACACACACACTCACACACACACAATACGTAGACCCACATGTAAATAACAGTATTTGTGTGTGCGTTTGTCTGTGTGTGTTTGTGTGAGTGTGTGTGTGTGTGCACGCACGTGAGTCTGTGTGCGCGTTCGGGCGCATGTGCATGTGTGTGTGTATACGTATGTATGTGTGTGTGTCTGTGTGTGTGTGTGTGTGTGTGTGTGTGTGTGTGTGTCTGTGTGCGTGTGTGCGCGCGCGGTGTTCGTGCGTACGTGTGTTCCTATTTTTTAATCACATAATCATGTTTAACAAATGTCGCCTTTTTCTTCCATTTCTTGTCAATCTGTCCATGTTTGCCAGTGGGCTTCAATTACTGCTGAACTCCTTCCTTTATTCCAGTTTTTAAAACAGTTTGATTTTAAAAAACGGAATCATGTTTACGGACTTGAGTAAACGTCATTTCCTGGAAGCCTCATTATGTTCTTCAGGACTCTGGTTGGCTTGCAGACACCTCCTTACTCATTACATGCTATTCCGGTGCAAAACTTTTTTTTAAAGTCTTTTTCTTTTTTTCGGCAAACGATTTGTCTGCGTGTTCATATTTTCCTCATGGCTGCTTGCTGTCTCGTTGCCTAGTGAGGAACCTGACAAGCATCAAGGAGTTCAGGACTCAAATTCTAAAGAGCTTTTATTAATTTTCCTGTCTTTCTAAACTTAATTTTCCTCTGAGCCTGGCATTTTGTAGTGGGGTCAAGTCTAGACAACCCCTCCCCCTCCCTCAAGAAAAAAAGAATGAAAGTAAGAAACAAAGAAGAAAGAAAGAATAATAGAATATTACAAAATAATATCGCCCGAATATAGTATCTCTTTTGTGTGTAGCTACGTGTTGTGTCAAACGATTTTTAGGTTGTTTTTTTTAAAGCGTAATTTGCTTTGTCATAACCATTTAATTTAGTGCCTGGGAGAGGGGGGGGGGTCGGTGGCAGGAGCAGCAATGAGTCCAGCAGAAATACCGGAGAAAAGCAAAGTAAAAGAACGTTTATGTGCAGTCCTCCAACCACTCAGGAGTTGGATTTTTATCTTCAGCAAAAGCACAAAACATTCACAGTGATAGATCTCTCGAAATGGATACGTTTTCTGCCTCAACGTCTCGACGTCACCGTTCATCAACTATATTTAGGCGGCAGAAGGTATGGGAAGGGTGTAGAGCGGGGGGGGG